ATTATTGTTTGGTTTGTTTTGCTAGAATAAACCATAGCCCGGGCCTGCGTACGGCGAGCAAGGGTAGCTCGACCAACCAGAATCGAGCGCACGGCATGATGCGTCAGACCACCACAGACAGGGCCCAAAAGGGTTGATGTCATGGAGCTGGGAAAGACTTAACGTAAAAGGTTACCGGGCTCCGGTTCGAAGAGTCAAAATAGGAACGAGGTATTTTTAAGTCAATAAGACTCTGATACTCCCTTCCGCCTCACCCAGGTGGGAGAACTCATTGGATGATATTCCCCCTTAAAAAAGCCTTTATCAGAGGTTAATAAGCTAAAGGCATTTGTCACAACCTCTACTTTTTGGGATTGTCGCAAAAGGCGATAAAAAGGTTTTGTAGAGATCGGAAAACAGAACTATCTGATCAACCTGAACCTTATCTGGGATCACCATAAGAGCACAAGATTAGACACGAACGGCATGTTACCAACGGCAGAGGTAACTGCAGCCGTCGACAATTCAACTTCGAAGAATGCTACAACACAAGTGTCCCACGCGTTAGCGGTTGCCGCCGACACGTGTCGAAGCAGTTGCCTCTGCCGTTGGCAACATGCCGCTCGTGTGTAAGAGCTCTTAATCTTCAACCTGGACCTTTTTAACTGTGATTGCCTTTAATCATCAACCTTCAATCTGCCAAGCGTGGAGATCATATCAAACGATCTAATGTAGAAGAGGATCATTGTCCAGCAATGCGGTATTGATATCTAGCACTCAATAATAATAAAGCATTCAAAAACTGAAACTCCCACTAAATGTTCTTGCAACACAGCTAATTACTAAGTACTTTAAAGTCTTATCTATCATAAATAAGCCTAATTTATCTATCACAATCTATAGGCACCTTTTCACACATAAATCATCTATTAGGTACTCGTACACACAATTTACGAAACCCATAAAACAATAGCCTAAGGCAAGAATCGAACCTTAACACCAGACGCTGTGAACGTTCATCGAAGAAATAAACAATAGATAAACAATATTTCGTAAGAGAATTGTTACTTAACTATGTTATGGAACATCACGCCTATTAATACCCGAAGGGGTATACAGAGATATAACATTTAATTACGTTGAATTTTCGTGAGAATAGATGTAACAGTGAAACATATTTTACAGGCTGATTATGACGATGACCATCGTTAATTATTAAAGAAAAAAAAAACAGTTTGTTTGCACCGTTACAAAAATACAAGAAAAATAGTTTAATAAGTACAGAACAGTGTACCCGATGCAGCTAAAATGCCGTGACCCGAGCGCGATAGCTCGTCAGTGATTAGTCTCCTTGTCATAGGAGATGAGCCTATTGCCAAACTCTGAACATAATATAGAATTTTTTCCTGTGTGCGAAAATCAATATCCTGGTATTTTACATCTTGTATTTCACGACCTGGGGTTCTGGAGACCTGCATGGGAACATAAGACATTATGTCCATTTCCTTCGTTGTTTTTTTTTGTATTAGGTACCTTCTGACAAAGATCATTTGACCTGGTCTGATGGATATCGTCTAACTAGACGATCCAGGGTATCCAAGAATAATTTCCTTACGTTAAGAATAGGAAACTTTCTGACAACTTAGCAATAGCAAATCCAAATCTTATTAATCAACCCGACGACTGGGTATATTAAAAAATTCATTACATTATCAACTGTTGCACATGCAACAGCCCAAATAATAATAATAAAAAAACAATTTCAATATAACGACGCACGGTCATCGACATTGTAGTGAATGATCCGACAATACTGTCAGTCAAAACTGATATCAATCCGTTCCGTTACGCGTCAGCGTCAGCATCAGTTCACTTAACATTCCTATCAATCAGTTGTAACAATCAAATTAATAAGCTCGTCTAATATATCTGTAATCATCTAAGTGTTAATGAGGATGGGTTTGGGGCTAGGAAAGTAGCGGATCTCATAAGCGGAGAGGTAACGAGTTTCATATTTCATAATTGTAATAGAAACAACGATTTGTTTAGACGGCGAAGAACATAACTAAATGTAATAATGTGACGACACGGTTGGTGCGGTGGCGACTTGCTGCCGCGCAACTTGTCGAGCAAACAAACTCTTTGTGTGATCCACAAGTTGTAGTTCCGGGTCTGGGTGTGATGTGTATGTGAACTTGTATGTTTGTAAATGCACCCACGACACAGGAGAAAATCCTAACGTGGGACAATTAAAAAAAAAATACTAAATGAAAATGATATTTTATTCTAAAGGCAGTTTTTGCGAAGCTAAAAGAGCAATAAAATTCAAATAAACAGTCAATAGTGCAAACTCTATTCCAAGTAATTACAATAACTAGGTATTTTGTGATCGCAAAACCTGTAGTTGTTCTTTAAAGCCCATAAATCTTACTCAAAACTTATAATAAAATCCCCCGTCATTCACCATCAAAACACTAATTGAAGAAGCGTCTCATCAATGATTTGTTAATAAGACCTAAATGAAAAACTTGAAACACGCTTTCAGAACGATTTTACTACTAACGTAGTTTTAAGGGCCCCAAACCTAACAGTACATCAGGGGCATCACACTAAAATAATTGGCCCTTGATTGCGCAAACGATGCTACAGAAGATACTATAGTCATCAGCATACTGTTGTATAATTAAATTGATATTCCCGTATCGTTATGTAAGTTGTTTGTGATAGCATTGTAAACAGGGATTTGTGTTCCTTCTGTAGCATTGAGAATAGATTGGGAAGTGTCTTAAGTTGTTTTGTTTTAGTAGGAAGAACTATAATGGTGAAATTCAGGATTGGGAAGCCCATTTTCTAATGTTCTCAGCAAGATTCTGATTAAAATTCATTGCTATTATAACTTTCGTGAGACATACTAAATTAATTATTATGACAGCAGCAGCACGATAGTCACCACGTCGCGAGTCGCGAAATGCTGCTCATGAATATGAGCCTGTAGCAAGGCTTGAAGTCGAGTTCCTAGTCAAATAATTACGTGGGTAAATTAAAAGACATAATAATTAATATTCTCATTCTGTAATTATCTGGTAGATAATGGGTATCTAATGATTAAAACTATCAGTAACCTTTTCGTATCACAGCACGTCTTCAGTTGCTTTTATCAATTAGAGAGTCCTAATTAAGATTATTGTCTCACATTGTAAGATTACAGTCTCGTAGATATTTTTAAATACATGTGATGTAGGTCTTTGTATTCGGGTTTTGTATCTGCAATCATTCTAAAAGACTGTCACACGCCTCTTGCTTTATCTCATCAAGGAAAAACAGACAATGACATAACAAAATGCTTTATGAAGAACAAAATATTGACTTATCAAATCAATCTTCGTTCTCAATCTATATGCCAAAAACCTTCACAAATGTTTGTTTCGCATGATTGATTGCCTCTGAGTGCCGAAGCTTTGGTTTAGTCCTTTGAGACGCCAAAGCCAAAGACCAAATTCAGTTCAAACGCAAACAGAAGACTTGGTTACCTAGAAACTACGGTTTGAGGGTGAAATTGAAATATTGATCGATGTGGTAAAATATGAATTCTGATCAAACGTAGGTATTGAGTATCAGACTTATAAGTAATAGTAGCTAATGTCTAGATCCAAGATATAACAGTATTATCTGGTTTGTCTCCTAATAAAAATAGAGAGACAATGATCCAGCGAAAAATGAACTCTATGAAAACAAAAACAAACACTAAAATGACAAAGAAACTTAATATTGCTTTACAATCTTTTGTCGCCAAGAAATTCTTTGGCGTATAAAGACGTTCTCTAGAGCCCTTCGTTGAAGGATCACTGTATTGTTCTACAGATTTGCAACACCAATTTGTGTGAGTGTCAACTCTCTTTGCTTTCTGGGCTCCTGGTACTTGGGACGTCGCACTTGATATTTGATGGGTAAATAATTTTGAATAACAATTTATTTAGTAGACGGTTTTTGTTGAAATTTAATTTGAAATAGGTATAATGAATGTCTAAGATGAAATGTGTAGAAAGGTGACAAGGTTTTTGAAAAGGCTGCCTCTTCGCAAAGGACCTAATCATACAATTTTCTTCGTTTGCCTAATAACCCCTACCTATAACGATAAAAGAGTGAATCTATTCTTAAAAACTACTTATAATTTTGTATTCCGTATAGATTATAATATTAAAATTATCATAATATCCACTGATGTAATTATAGTAGGATCTGAAACTGAAGATCTCGCGATGAATAAACATAATTGTTCTATTAACGAAGTCAAAACACACGCAAATTAATACCAATATACAAAGGAATATGAACGCTAACAACCGAATAATTAGCACCGTATTACACTACAACTAAGCTGGAAGCTCGACAACCATAATAGCGCAACTTAAGTTGTACATGACTACACATCAAATAAAGCAACACCAGTATAAACTGATCGTCAAATGTTCAGAAATATCATATGAAATTAGACCAGGATAAACCGGTTGTGTAGCTCGCGTTGTTGTACCTAACTAGACATGGTGAACTCAAAGTTGAATGCAAATTCTGTTCAGGAGTTTCGAACATAAGCGTTAATGCTTCACATAGTACAGAGTATGGAAAAGTTGGAATTTGTACGAGAACTGGATTTTCTCGAGTGTAATGCGCATGGAATGGGATGGTTAGATTTCATTTCGAAGTTGTTTTAATATTGTTAATGAGGATTTGTGATTTCAATTGTATTTATTTTAGATTTTATATAATTACGTCACAGCTTTGAAAGTAGATTACTACATTTTTTTTCAGTGAAGAAGTAGCTATGACATACATAGCTATTTGTGTAAAATTATGTTTAAAGATTGGACCAAAATTACTCAAACATTAATAGTATCATGATTCTATACTGTATTGTTAAGTATCAGCTAGCTTTCTATTAGATCTACATCTGTTCAAAAATTCATATCAACCCCACTTCATCAGTTTCACTCTTTAGCACTTAGAATTCTACGACTACTTACAGATCTGGTTCAACATCAGTATAGTTTCCCTCTGGATCAACAAGCCCCACTCTTATTGTGGGAAGAGTTTCGTCTTCATCATCTTCTACTTCTCCCCTCGCTTCTCTAGCTTCTCTTTCTGCTAATGCTCGAGCTGCTATCACCTGTTGACAAGAGTAAATATCTTTTAAGTTATGGGTGATAGTGTTCATTACACCGTGTGGATTATAAGAAAGCTTAGGTCTTGGTAGTTTGAGACCATTATCAAATTAAATGCCTGCTAGATTAGACAGAATATTTCCAATACTGTAGTATAATTCCTTGTTGGAATTTTCACCCGCAGCTTTATTTTTATTTAAGTGATAATTTTTTTCTTGTAGCTAAATTTTATTAGTAGGAAACCATAAGAATTAAGGATCCCTATTAAGTATACAAATAACAATGTCCTTAACCCCGCACGTTACACCTAACTCGACGAAATTAATGCGCTGTCACTGCTCCCTCATAGAAACTACAACAGCAACTAATGCTCTTAAGCATACGTAATGCAAGACAAACGCTTGCAAACTCGAATTCTCACGTTTCACTAAAACTTGTGTTGTGTTAAGGACGTTTTGTGAAAATGTATAGAGAGAGATGTCTCATGCTTTGTTTTGGATGTGGAGGACCTTCTTCATTTCCTTCTATGTTCCTCTATTAATGTCGGAATACTGAAACGCTACTCAATTTTAAGTCACGCTTAAGTATAGTTCTGTCACCACTCATTCTTTGTGAAATGACAGAGATGGCACGTTATTTAAGTACGACTTCAAATTGAGTAACGTTTCAGTATTCCGGCATAACAGAATTAAATTCATGGAATGATAAGAGCCTAACTTAAAAATCTAAACTGACCTATAATGACGAAACCCTAAGTAGACCTCCATTTAAAAATTTACTATTATGACGGGCCTATTTATATTTGATGGTTTGATTACGTTTGACCACTATCTCGCCTATTTCCTATATGGCCTTTCTATATACAACTATATGGCCTATTTCCATTTCAGCTGGCTTATCGTTTAGGCTATGTTGATAGCTTTGGTTTTCTATTGGATTGGTTTTTTACACGATCTTTCAAATTATATCCTAGCATAGCCCTTTCTGCGCTGTCTACATCTCTTCTCCGTATGTCACCGACAAAACATTTTTTTATTTCTATTTACTTTTACAGACAAAACAATGTTCCAAGACTAATTTATTTAATTGCTGTAATACAAGCTGAAGTTATTATTTTAATGTAGAAATGTTTCTCATTAGGAGACTTAGAGCCTAAATCTGTACATGTAATGACAAAGGTTCGTCCCCAATTAAAAAGGACTTGTAATATAATTGTAGAAACGTAAGTGTATTCTACCCTTTGCCCTTCAGTCTGAGAAGGGTGTATTCATGCTATTTGCATTATTTATGAGGGACAAATGTATAATGAAACAATTTAAGTTGACAGAATATGTAATTATTCTTCAGTGGATTATTCTAGAAGTGACGTAGATTGCATGACACAGTTAAGGTTCGTATTTTCTGTTCTATAGGTACTAAAGATTTTCCAAAAATCAAAATGCCAATCACACTATGGTCGACGCCCGAATCGAATTTAAGATCTAATTTTTAAGAGTTGTTCTTGTGTGATGAGACAATATCATAAAAGTAAAGTACACCCTATTACAAAGACATTAGAAATATGTCATAATCAGGCTTATAACAATAGTCTACCTAATTTTATCTTTCCATACTCTAATTGGATCTCTCAAGGATTACACAAGGTTTACCATAATATCTGCTTACCTGTAACCGCCTCTGTGCTTGTGGCGTGATCTCCACCACCCTGGACCATCGACGCGACTTCCTCTCGTACTGCCATTTATCACTCAGCGCGCATTGCTCATCGTCAGAGTCGTTCTGTTGACAAAATAAAATAGTTGTTTAGTATTAGGCTAAGGACGCACGGCGCGTTCTTCTCCCGCACCCGCCACCGTGGTGGTATTTGGAGGCGGAATATTCAAAACTCACGAAACGCCAGTTTTCTACGATCTCGCAGCCGCCGCGGTAGCGATTATCGCCCGCAAACTAGGCGGTTGATTATCGCAAGATGGGCGGACGGTTAAACAATCAGTTGAGTTCCAGTCCGATCGTCTCATTGCAATCCGCCAACCGATAGCAGAGCGCACGGGCGCGGGTGCTAGCCGTCGCGGTTGCGGGACCAGAATCTTGCACTATACTTGACGTTGTTATAATTATGTAGTTTATTGAAGCCCTGGCGTTCAGTAAGAAGGTTTGTATCATGTTCGATGTTCGTAATGTTGCACTGGGTCTTGTAAATATTTTGTACTAAGGGCCTTTCCATTTTCATATATTAGTAAGGTACCTAGAGATAAACAGCTCATGTTATGTTCATTTATTTGAATCACATCATCATTGATTGTATCTCGTGATCTTTCTGAAAGCGTGTCCAGAATTGTGTCAATCGGATTAAGAAGTAGTTGCACGGCATTTAATTTGTAGTAAATCGTTATTTAAACATCAGAAGAGCGAAATAAAACCACAATTATAACCACCTCATAAACAGTAAGCAAATGAATGAATAAATGTAAGAAGTAACAAGTTTAATCAAATAACGATTGAGACCGTATAACAGGATTAAGTTAAATTATTTTACGAGCTGGCTTACACTGAGTGTAGTTCATTTTAATTGAATCAATCTCTTTTAGAACTGCGTACTAAGGCGTGTTGATTGGTTTCAATGATGTTTTGTCGAGTCGAGACTAACTTGTTGATGTCGATGGATTAAGTAATTTTGTTGGTGTATTTTTAGTGTTAAATATTTTTTGTTCCGCTTGTATTATTACTTTAGTGAGATATTCTAAATTAATTATTGTTTTTCGGCTTACACACGGAATTATTTGAAGAGGAACTCGATTAGTTTCAAGTCATGCTAGAAGCTCATATTCATAAGTAGTAGATAACGTTAGCACTTCTATTGTCGCGCTAATAATGACGCGCGACAGTCGCCGCGTTGCGGGTCACGCAATACTGTACAATATGAGCCTCTACAGTCTGGCAAACGAAAGTAGAGACTGAAAAAGCCCGGCAAATTTAAAAAATATCAGTATAGCAACCCAAAAATTAGTATGTAATAATATAATAATAATATAATACCAATTTATTTCAGATAATAAAATCCATAAAATTACATTAAAAACGAATTCAGGTTCAAAATTTTATAAATAAATTAATACTAATTTTTGGGTTGCTATACTAATATTTTATAAATATGCCGGGCTTTTTCAGTCTCTACTTTCGTTTGCCCGACCTTAGCATGGCTTAAAACTAGTGTCGAGTTCGCCAAAAACATAATATTTTTTCATACTATTTGTGTTTTTTTTTTGATAAGCAGAGTAAGTTGACTTTGACTTTGACTTTGAAGCGAAAAGTACCCAATCGTATCTACTATGAAGTAGTCTCGTCGTAATATGAATCCTAAGTCGAGCAGATAAAGTAGGTATTTAAAAATAAAAAACTAACAATCATTTAGGTCATGGAACTTTTTTTTTTTTTTTAATACTTTGCCCCACTTTCGGATTTTCTCCTGTGTCGTGGGTGTGTTTACAAACATACAAGTTCACATACACAATGAATGACAGCCAGACCCGAAACAACAATTTGTGGATTACACAAAGTATTGTTCCGTGCGGGAATCGAACCCGCTACACGTTGCATGGCAGCCGGTTGCCCAGCCACCGCACCAACCGTGCAGTCATCACGTTAGACCGTATGTACATATACCAAAACATTCTTATTATGTCATGTCTATAATGACGATGCATTTAACAACTAGAGTCGAAGCATTCGATAAAATTATAACACAATTCACTTCATTTAATTCTATTTATCTGTCAACACTTTTAACAAGCTTTGTAGATAGCGTGAAGGTGACTAAATGGGTAAGCTGCAGTGTAACAGATTAACAGTTTCGATCAATTTGTTAGCGTGACGGGCAGTGTGGCCGGCAGTAGGTGGGTACAGTCATTCGAATAAATGGTTTTGGTTGAAAATATTTTCGTATGAAACTAGTTATGATTTATTTATTTACTTCGGTTTAGGGTGTTTCTTCGAAAAAGTTTTATTTAAAAAAAACATTATTATTTTATAATAACTATCGTAAGACATATTTATTTAATTATTTAATTAAAAATCACGGGTTACTCACGTAATAATACTTAGAAAATCTCTACTAGTTTCGAACCACAGAGGGGTTCTCATGAACAGCGTGCGCGGTCGCGGCGATGTCAGAAAAATGTTTGTTACATTTGCTAGAAAGTTTTTTTTTATGTGGTAAGCCGGTAAACGTGCAGACGGATCTCCTGATGGTAAGCAATCGGCTACAAGTGCGTTACCGGCCTTCTGGATTAGGAAATTAAGGATTGTTGGGGATTCAGGGATTGGGGAAAGGGGGGGGGGGGTAATTGGGGTAAATAAAGGTTTTAGTATAATAATCAACCGACTTCAAAAAAGAGTGGGTTCAAGTTGGTTTTTTAAACGTAGTTTATATAAGAATTTTCAATTTTAATGTTTATGTTATCATTATGTTTATACCTATGTTATCATTATGTTTATACCTATACAAATAAAACAAAATTATTTAGAAAGAACCACAGCTAAGATTAAAAAAGGAAGGAGGGTATGGGGTCTTTGGCCTGCAGTCGGACGATCATGGCTGAAAAGAAATAAATAAAGAAGAACCATAGCTAAGATAAAGGCGAAGGAAAGCATCGTGAGGAAATCTGGGCTTATAATTTCTAATTATAAGTTTGTAATCGCCAACTCGCAATGAGCAAGCGTGGTGATCAATGCTCAAACCTTCTTCATGTGAGAAGAGGCTTTGCTCAGCAGTGGGCATTTATAGGCTGTTGATGATGATAGCTAAGATTATGCTACTATTAAGTACATTCTAAGTACCTATTATAGCCGTGATATTATGTAGGACGAGATAACAATCTAAGATACAGTCTATAAATACCAGAACACGATCAAATGTGTTATAATTAGCACTATAATTACACTCGCCATAATTCAAGGACATGAAATTTAATAGTGCACTAATTAGCTCGAGGTAGCAAAGGTTAAATGGCAAAAGACCACGGTGTAAGGCTGTGTGCACATCGCACTGTGAACCAAGGTATAATTTAATCGCAGTTCTTTGTACCTACTGCAAAACAGTTTTAACCCTTAAATGCACAGTGATATTTCCATCGTAAAGAATTCCAGTCCATAAATAAAGTTCGGATCACAGACTAAAAATAATCGCAAAAAACTCTTTACGATGGTACATCACTATGCATTTGAGGGATAAATCAGTATCATTTTGAATGAATATTAATATTTTGGTAAACTTACGGCCCTTCGTTAAGTTGAGAGGTGATAATACATATAATAATAATATCTTATCCTAAGAGATCACAACCTTGACTTGGATTCCCTTTCCCCTTTTTCAAAAAATACATAGGAATAACATGAAGTTTAGAATAGAGCCCGGTACTTATATGGCAATAGGCTCACTCCCTATTATACGGGAATCACAATAACATTCTTATTTTAAATACTGCAGTATGACCGCTCCCTAAAACTAACAATGATGGAAGTCTGTCTACGTGATATGATCTCAGAAAGGTTAAAACAATTATTATGTTGTATCTGCCTACACGAGTAAACAGTAGGTACATATACTTGCCTATTACTTCATAGTCCTATTAATAGCTGGGTAATACCTTTATTACATTTCCAATAAAAACTTAAATAATATTAAAATTAACTTTTACTACATTAATAATAAAATATGTACAACTTAAGATTAAAATTATATAAAAGACAAATGGGTAATAAACTAAATAATATTATAGTTTATATTTGGAAAGGCGTGGGCAGAGATGTATTTCCATCATTTATGTTATAAGCCTTATGTTACAGAGCATGACACACTCTATAACATAAGGCCTTTAATATAGCATGAAGCTTATAAAAGGATAAAAGTTATTTCTTATTCCGTTTATTCTCCCTCCGATTAGGAATGAATTCGAAAATCCAAAAAAGAACTCCCAATTATCAACTGCATCTCTGCCTACCCCTTCAGTGATGAAAAATGAGACGTTATTATCACGTTTATGCACCAATACTTCAATCGAAAGTACCAGGCTCCCGCAATTCGAACATCATCGATTAACGTAAGCTCCATAATACGGGGTATTACCTTACAAAGCGGGGATTACATGGGCATTGTATTTGCACTCTGCTGATATTAGGGATTCGGGAATTGCCAATCATCGTATTATGGTAATATCAATGTGTTGGTAAGTGTAATATAGCTATGTTTGGGTAACAATTAGGAATGATACAAATTAGTGACAATACTAACTGAATATTTAGAATTCGGAGAAATAAATGATTTGAGATGGATGCCGTCCCGCAATTAAATTGTGTTTTTTATAATATGTACCCTGGTAATTACGCGATGGATCATGTATGCCCATAAGCAATCGATTCACCTTAACCTATTTCAATGAAATAGGTAACTATACATTACCAGTGCTTTTAATAAAGAATGAGTCTTGGAAAATAGCCTAATGTTGACTATTTAAAACAAATACATAATTGATGAAATGGCGAACCAGCTGCTGCATAATATCTCGTAATTCCTTCACAGAATAACTTTACTCTTTGGGTGATCTCAAATTGTCACCGGCGAAGGAGTCTAACGCGGCGCAACAGATGAAAGAAAGTTCGCGTGAATCATCACCGTACCAGACTCAAGCAGCCAGTAGCAGTGCGACAGTAGCCACGTCGCGGGTCGTGGAATACTGCTCATGAATATGAGCCTCTAGCATGGCTTGAAACTAGTCAAGTTC